TATTTCAATATAATAACCAGATCCAATGGACCTAACATATGATGAATTTATGTTAACTTTACCAACCAGCGTTCTCATCAATCATATATATTTTTGGGGGGAAATGTAAACATTATTGCCTAAAGTACCTTATATACATCTGTTAGCTGATCGTAACAAAGGACTTTAACAATCTAAATAGGTAAAGCTGATAAAGGGTACCATATTTTGGTTTATTTTATTTAGCCTTAAATTATATATTAATATTTTTAAAAATGTAAACTCAGTGAATAAGAGCTGGTATAATCAATATTTTACATAAGTAGTCTCATTTTTTAAAAACAAAAACTTAAGCTTTAGATCATTGCCATTTCATTGGGGAGTTCTCTAATATTTTATGGTAATATTTTAATAGATCCCAGGAATTTTGAAATACTGTTTCCCCTTTATATATTTTCCATTTGATGGAAATAATTTCTCCTGGAAAACTAATTCTTTCAAAAGTTTACTGAAAACCTATATTTAGGAAATGATATTTTAAAATCCAGTGTCTTTAAAATAACAATAATATGTCAGGACACAAATTTGAAATAAACCACAGAAAACAGTGCCAATGTGTATGTATACATGAATATGTGTGTATCTCTTACATATGTATTTGTTTAAGAGCACGGATATATATATGCATATACATACATATACATATATATACACATACACAAACATATGTAGGTAGCCTACCTACATTTTAATACACATACACACACATACCCACTTCGCTGGGCCTAAACATGCACTAGCAAGTTATTTTAGGGCTTCAACTCTTCAGAAAATCTCATTATGTGAGGAGCGAAGTGGCTCTGCGGGGAACATTATGGAAATATCTGGGCTTGATTTAATGAGGCTGTTCACATTGGTGGAATATCAACTTAACAGAGAAAAGTCTACCCAGGGCGTCCAAGTTACCAAAATGAAATTGGCAATTGAGATGATAAGAACGTGGCTTTCTTCTGCGAAATCACTTCAGGTAACAGAGATAACATTAAATAACATACATTCTATGCACCAAGAACAATGTTTTATGTACCGAGTCTCTTATCCGTCTCTCCTAATGACTTCCCTTAGCGGGTTGTTAGTACTTGACAGCAGGTCTCCGTGCGGGGAACTTTTCTCCAATTCCACATTCAAAGGAGGTCCATCAGAGAGCATGATTGGCAATTTTCGTCATAATCTGCACATTATTAGCATCAAAATTGACGTGGCAGTTAACACTGGTGGGTTTTGATGTACCTTTCTTCAAGTTCAAGTAAACCCCTCCAGTAGCCAGGTTGGCAGAGCGGGTCTCAGCAACCCAGCGGTGGCTTTGCACAGGCGAAGGCGCAATAGACATGCGTGAGAAATATGCCAAGAACCATTTCACCCGAGGAAAAGCAAAGCGAGGAGGGAAGGGGACGAGGGGCATAGAGAGTTCTAACTTAGAAAAGTGTCTAAGGAAATGCTTTAGGATAACACTAATATATCTAGAGATTCAAGTATTTCCCAGATCGAGTGGAACCCGGTAGTTGGAAAACTGAGCTGAAAAAGCCTCTTCAAATACTACAGCGATCTATCAATCTTGCCCCCACCCCCAACCCCTTCTTTTCCCTTCCCTGGCCTGGCTGTGGCATCCTCTTTTGCCATCACTTTTTGCATAAAATATGCAAGATGCTTCCATTCCATCAGCACTGAAACCAAAGACCAAAAGAGAACAGTGTTGGACCGAGAAGGAGGCGGCGCAACGGCCACCCCTTCCAGCACCTCGGGTTTGTCCTTCCCGGGGAAGGCGGCCACAGCTCTACCCGCCTTGCTCCTGAACGCAGTAAACAATCTCACAAACACAACCGCCGCTGCCCAGGCTCTCCATCCGCCCTCCCGGCCTTCTCAGACCTCCGTTCTCCCGCTCTCTTCGGGCAGGGTCCCTAACAAGCTCAGGCTGAAGAAACATTTGCCACCTCCCCCACCCTCGTTGAAAGAAAAGGAAGGATGGAAGAAAAAGGGCAGCAGCGAGAAACCTCCGGGGCGACTCCTCCCCCGCCCCCAAGCACCAGCGCACAGCATCCCCCTCTGTCTTTGTTGTGGTTCTCCGCTGCTTCGGGCCACGCGGTTCAGCCAAGCAACCCGGGCCTGAGGGCGCACAGCCAGAACTAGCTTAGGGGGCGACCGGTTTGTCTTTGGGGAACCACGCGCTCAGGACAGAGGTGGCAAGTGGGTCCTGGGAGCCAGAAAACAGAGAAGGGCAAACGGTTGGGTGGCAAATACAAAAATAGAAATAATTTAGGGGGATGCCTGCCAGGCTTCTGCGCCTGCTCTTTCTCCCCCAATTCGGGGCAGGTTCCCTTCGGCCTCCCGCACCCCGGGGCGCCCCCTGGCGGCAGCGGTAGCAGCGGGCAGCGGGCAGCGCGCGGAGGGTTCAGGGGGTTCACAGGGGACTCCCGGGCACACTCAGAGCGGCGGGCGCGGCCCCCTGGCGGTGGCGACGTAGTTATCTGGTGAGTGGAGCCTCGTCCCTCTGGTCCGGCGGGCTCACGGCCGTCTTACTAAGCACCGCGGCCGAGTAGGGCAGGAAGCCGCTCTCGGAACGCGGTGCTGCCGCGCTGCAGCCGAAGTCCGAGCCTCCTCCGGCCCCTGCGCCCCCGCCGCCGCCGCCGCCACCACCGCCGCCACCGCCACCCCGGGAGCCCAGGGCTGCGGCAGCTGCTGCCGCGGCTGCTGCCGCCGACTGACTGCTGTGGCAACTGAGGCACGAGCAGGGTGCAGAGCCGCCGCTGGGGGGCGCTCCGGCCGCCGCCGCGGAGGAGGCCGCAGCCGCTGCCGCGGCCGCGGCCGCGGCGGCCGAGGCCGCGCTGTTGAGCCCTGCGGCGGCCGCGGGAGCCTGGTAGAGACCAGGGTGGCGGAAGCTACATAGCAGTTCCGGCCGAGAGTAGGGGTGCGAGAGGGCGCGGAAGGTGTCCAGTGGCCGGATGGAAGTAGCGAACGGCGACGAAGCCGCGGCCGCCGCGCCAGAGGCTGCAGCCGCGGCCGCCGCCGCCGTGACGCCCACGTGCGGGTAGTAGTGCAGCGGCACGTGCGAGTGGAAGGGGTAGGGCAGGCTTCCGGTGGCGGCCGCGTGCGTCATCATGTAGGTGTAGAAGCTGGGGTCTGCTGGGTGCGGCCAGGACATCGCCAGGCGCTGCCGCTTGTCCTTCATGCGCCGATTCTGGAACCACACCTGCGGGGAGAGACGCGCCGCAGCCCGGGTTAGGGAGCGCCCCGTGTTCCCTGCTCCTGTCCCGGGACCTCTGCCCCTCCCGGACCTCTGAATGGCTTGGCCTACTTCTCTCCGACCAAGCCCAACCCCGAGTATCCTGTGCTCTCCCAGCTGGGAAAGTGTGAACGGCCGTGTGTGGACCGCCGTGGGCACACCGTCCTCAGCGAAGAGGGTCCTCTCCCCCGCGTCCGGTTGCTGCTGCTCCTCAGGCTTTTACTCCCTTACTTCTTGCTGCGACTTTTTTGTCCCAACCCAACCTTTCCTCTCCCTCCTGCCACCCACCAGTGCCGGTCTCGCCGAGCACCCCTCTCTCAATCCCAGGATTTTCACGGGGATTCTGGGCAGCCTTTGAAGAGAGGCTGCCGCTCAGCTTTTCTGAGAGGTCTCCGCGCGAAGTCTTGAGCCCTCAGAACTGCAAGGACCTGTCCCTAGGGGCACGGGTCCGATTTTGATATTGAAGGGATGATTTCGTTGGAATCGTTTGCCTTAAATGAGTGGGTAGAGCAATGTCTCCATAAACGGGGAAGGTTACGTTTCCACCCCTCCCAACACTATCTAATAAAGACATCATTCGTCACAACTCTAAATTAAAGAAAGCCCGATCAAACCACAGGGAGACTTCCACACTCCTCCCCTACCCTGTGGAGTTTTTTTCTTTTTCTGCAGTGTCGAACGCTCCATGAAGGGCTCACCAAATCGCCTAACCTCCCGGCTATCTCTCCCAGACGTATAATAAAATTAATAACCTAAAGTTATATATAAATAAGGACAATTTCGTTGCATTTTTCCCCGCAGGAAGTTGCCCTTTTTTCATTGCCCAAGAGGAAAATGTTTAGGAAACTACTGTCTCAAACCAATCGATTTTTAAAATACAGTATCTTTTTCTCCATGTAACGATTTATGCGGAAAATAAATCTCCAAGCTCAAGAGCAAATAAAAAGTTTCATCTCTGGTTCCTGCTTGAGGAACAAAGACCAACTGGGCTTGCCGCCTAGGGGAAAGTGGGGCCGTGGATATGGGCGAGGGGGCATCTGGCCAGGCGTTGGGCACAATGGAGCAGAGGCAAGTGCTTTCAGCATTGGAGTGACCATTCGGGGGCCTTCTTAGATCCGTCAGGCGGGACAACCGTTCGGATTCGGTAGCCGAGAAATAAATAAGCCAATTCCTTTGGTGACTACCCCCCGCGGATTTCCAGACCCTCAGCTAAATCTAGCCACCCAGAAAGGGGAAAGGGGAAAAAGAAACAATCAACCCAGATGCCCCCGGGGAGGCCAGAGCAGGCACGCACTGGAATCGATACCTTGATGGTGGTTTCGGGCAGGTTGAGCGCCGCGGCCAGCTCGCACCGGCGGGGCCGCGACACATAGTTCTCCCGGTAGAACTCCTTCTCCAGGCGCGCGATCTGCTCGCGGGTGAACGCCGTACGGTAGCGCCGCACTTGATCCGCGCCAGAGCCGGAGCCAGCCAGCGCCGCGCCCCCGCCGCTGCCTCCGCTGCCTCCATGCAGGCTTCCAAGGCCTGGGCCCGATGCCGACGTCGTGGTGCCGGCAGCCGAGCCGCTCTCTGCGTACCCTGGCAAACAAACGGCCAACAGCGCATGAGTGGCTGTAGGGCCAACAGCCCCGCGCTGGTGCTGCGCTCGGATCGGGGAAGCCCCGTCAGGAAGGAGAGTCGCTGCCTGAATTGATGGGGTCTGTCATGCTTACAAATTGCTGCGGTTAATGGAATCAATAAAGTTTGGGGAGCCCTTCATAAGCAAATAATAGAAACTGAATTAGGAGATTTCTTTTTTAATAATTAGAAATTGTCAACTAAGGAGGAAAAGTGGCCGAGGGAAAATGCCTACCTCTGGGCGCAATTTGGGAAGCTCTGGGTTTGCCATGGTCTGGAGACCGCGGGGCAGCTTTCTGTATGGCCTCTAACCTTTATTGAGTCTTCGGGGTTTCGAATATTTTAAGAGTTCCAAGACAGCAGCAGCTCAAACCCAAGCCAATAGGGGGTGAAATCTACTTTTCAACTCTCTCCAGCTGACCTTAGCAGAGACGCCCAGCGAGGCTTCCGCCGACTTACCCAGAAGAATGCCCCCTCCATTCGGCCCTGAAGGCTCAGAGGCACCGGAGTTTAGAGTAGTTGCCCAGGTTACCTTTTCCAAAAGCAACTCGGCTGCTGACTAAGTAAGGGTCTATCGGCTCGCTCGGGCTCTCAGACACGAGCGCAGAAACATTTTCTCGGACTCAGGAGCGAGGGCGGGTGGGCCTGGTGTTCCAGGCTCCGCAGGCCTGAGCCTTGCGGGAAAACTCAAGGAGCAGGACGGGAGGGCACGGTCCCAGACATGCGTCCCGCCCCCGCCCGTGCTAGCTCGGTGCAGCTTGCTGGTGGAGGGTCTGAGAGGGGCAAAGGCACCGGGAAGGGCTGGCGGGGCCCGCGGAGGAGCAAAGAGGATGGGAATGAATTGCGCGGTGCGGCCGGCGCGGTTACCTTTGCCATTGTTTTCCTTGAGCTGAGCGGTGCCTAGGCCACCGGGGGAGCGCAGCGCGGAGCAGCCCACCTCCACGTCGCTGCTCATGTCGGCCTCGGCGGCCGCCTCTGAATAATGGCCCGGCTTCTTGCGGCTCTCGGCGGCGGAGGAGATTTCGGAGGAGACGGTGCTTTCGCTGCCCGTGTGCTGCAGGTTGAACAAAGTGTCTATTTCGAATTTGCCCTTGGCGGGGAGGTCTCCCAGAGCGCCGTGCAGGGGGGCAGACGGCAGGCGCGGGCTGAGGCGAGCCGGGTGCTGCGAATTTTCCAGGGCCTCGAGCACAGCATTGCCAGCCGAGTCGGACAAATTGGAGAATCTCTTGCCAGCCGTAGGGCTGTGCAGCCCTCTTTCCATCAGAATCATCTCTTTTCTTATTCTTTCCATCATCTCAGCTTTCTTAAAAATGTCACAGTGGCCCTGCTGTCCCGTCCTAATGATAGGCTGCGCCTAGGGCTAATTCTCATTCAGCCCCAGCGAACGCCTCTAAATATTATTATCTCTTTCGGAGGGAGGCGGAAAAATTGTGGGATGCCAGAGCGAGGGAATGACTGGTCAAAATGACCCATACATCCTTCCGAGCCCGAGATGTCATTCATCAAAAAGTAGCGCCCGCTCGTCATTAAGGTACGAATGACGCTGTTCGAATAATCATTTATTGTAACAGGTTTATAAGCAAATAAATACACGCTCCTGTCAGTGGGTAATGAAGGCAGCTTCAGAGCAGACAAATAGATCCAGGTAGGAGGCGAGAAGAGACAAGTGAGGAGGAAGGCTCCGGTCCTTTGCCCGCTCGGAGCCAGTTCTGCTCGCCCGGGGGTTTGGCCTCGGGGGTGAAATTGACAGTCTGATTAATAGAGCGCGCCGCGGCACATTTCCCCCTTCATTTAGGGGCATCATTACGCTCTCAGTTTGCTGGGTTGCCCCTTAGGTCCTAATCATGCAGCGCCTTCCTCATTTTTCCTTGGACACAGATATGTATTAAATAATAGATAATGGTTTGACTTTCCAGGGTAGATCCTCGGGAAGGTTTTTTTTTTTTTTTTTTTTTTTTTTTTCGTTTTGTTTTAACATTTACAAGCTGCGGGCGTAAGTGGGGGGAGATAAGGGGGAGGATGCAGGAAGAGTTGCGTAAGGAGAAGACCTTGCGCCTCTCCTGTCTGGATTACTTATCTTTCGGATTTCAGAACCAAATATGTATTTTATTTAACAAATAGGACGCCGGAGTTCTCTCCCTCCCTATTTCTTCACCTCAGCCTGAATGCTCTCCTCCCACCCCGGGGGGTGGGTGGATGGGGAGAGGGAGAGAGCGAGACAGAGACAGAGACAGAGACAGAGAGAAAGACACACACACAGAGAGAGAGAGAGAGAGAGAGAGAGAGAGAGATCCTAGAGTTTTGAAAGCACTTTCTTGCTACGTGGCCGCGGAGGTGCATTGGGCCCGCGCCTCCAAACGGAAATCATTAGGTCCTCTCTGATTTTCTAACACCGTTTGCAGAGTGAGATCTGAACTCGAAGTCCCCGGTTTTTTACTTTTATAATCCTGCTGATAGCCTTCTCGCCTACGCATTTTCCCGAGGGGAAACGAACTAGGCTGAACGATTTGATAGCAGAATTCGACAGCTAACTTTAAACACAGTGGAGATTTACAGCGCCATACGGGCTCTCCAAATCCACTTTCACGTTGCCAGATTTTCCCCTCCCTCCTCAAATGGAATTATTTGCGGCAAAGGCGCTGGACTTCGAGGTCAAAAGAGGAAAGAGGAGACAGCTTTCTTCCCCTACCTCCCTGCTGCCCTCCCTTTTCTTCCTTCTCTCTTTCTTCCCCTCATCAACCGCAGCCCCTTACCTGCGGCCACAGGTATTCCCAGCGTTGAGTCCGGGCGCAGAGAGTCGCCGAACAGTCTTACCACAGCTCTCTGCGGCCTGGGCTTGGCGGCTGAGCCTCTTGGCGATAACTTTGATTGTCATAATGACGCCGGTGGCAACCATTTTAAGAAAGATCAATCTTCACTCAAGGCCGCTCCTCATCTCCCGCGGTTGCGCCCAATCTTCCCTGACCCTCCAAGCACTGTGCCCGCCCGCCAGCGGCCCAACGGGAGAGAGATTCGCGGACACTGGCGGAGGCGAGGGAGGACGGAGATGGGACGCGGAGGTCCGCCCGTGAGCTTCTGAAGCGGCTGAGAGACCCTTACAATCTGGGCACTGGGCGCGGTCCTGCATCCCCGCATTTAGCGTCAACCCAGACCCCAACCAGAACCCCCTCCTCTCCTTTCTCCGGACATACCCAGAACATTGGGGTGCATTAGGGGGGCAAACTCGAGATCTATTTGCCTATGGTTCTTGGCGCTTTCCTTTTAACCTTAGACCCGTTGGGGGCGCGTCAGGAATGTAAGGGGAGGCGAGGTGTGAAGTATATTTATATACATATATACACACATATAGTCAATGCCAAAAGTTTATCTTCTCTTCCCCTCGGCGCCAACATATTTCCACAACGCGAGCTTTGCTTAGAAAATCAATTCTACCTATTTAAGGTAATAAACGGAAAGCTCGATAGACAGGCGGTGCCTGGGGGAAGGGGAAACCGGTGGGGAACGCAGAGTGAGCAGCCGGCACCGGAACTGGGACTTGACCCAGCGTCCATCTCTGCCCCTGCCCCATTGGCCACCCAGCTCCGAGCTCCCTGAGTTCTCATTGCGCCGGCTTTGGGGACATCAGCGCGGTGGGAGCCCAGCCCTGCCAACGCCCCCACCTGCTCCCTCTCTGCTCCGCAGCCGGGATGCCCAATTCTACGATGCCTTGCAGTCGCTGCCCCTGTGACCCAGGAAGGGTCCCCCTAACCAGTCCTCGCTTGCTCCAGGGACTGAATGAGACACCTTGGTCCAGGCTTGGTTCGTGCTGGGTTGGTGGTGGGGGGGTGGGGTACAAGACCCTGGCGGGAGTGTGGGTGAGCTGAGGCACTGCTTGGGCGGAAATCCGTGGATGCCTTTATTGCTGTCGTTTGGCGCCCCCATCTGTTTTCCTCGCGGTTTCGTCTGCTATGAGTTGGTTTTCAAGTCGGAGACGCAGTCATTGGAACTAAGGTGAGGACTGACGACGCCCTCCTCTATCACTCAGCCCAAGGGTCTCCCACATCTTCCCTTCCTCTGGGACCTGACGCCTCTGGTCCCAAAGGCTGCGCCAAACCGGACCTCAGTCTGTTGAAAGGGAAAACACTGTTTCTCAGCAACACCTTCATTCATTAGTGGCTTTGAAAACTATTTTTGCACCTTTTAAATTACACTGATATTGCATTTCTAGCACGTTTATTACAAAAAAAACATGTCAGAGACCATGTCAGCGAAACTACTCACAGTAAAAGACACCTATAATGTTTCCACTAAACTGGGTGTAGCAGGCAATAATGTTTCATGGGGTACAGTGACCATTCCATTCCAATATTTAATGTCCGTTTATTTATTTAGAGATTCCACACCCACTAGTAGTAATATTGGCTAACTTATATGAAGCTCTTACTATGCAATTCCAAGTGCTTTTTACATGTTATCTCAGCTAAGGTTCACAGCAACTCTGTGAGATTTGAACTATTATCCCTTTTCCAGAGATTATGAGCCAGAGGGGTTCAGGGACTTGCTCGTGATTTAAACTTATATCCGATGATAAAGTCAAAAGGGTTGTTTAAAGCCTTGGGCAGCATTTTTTAGGTTAATACTCTCATTTTGCCTATGTAAATACAGGCCTACCTCAAAAACACTAAACCTATATAGAGGGTAGTAAGAAGAATGCAGTTCCCTTTATTTGTGTGTGTGTGTGTTTTGTTGGTGGTGGTGGTAGTGGTGGTGGTGGTTTTTGTTTGTTTGTTTTTAAGACAGAGTCTCACACTTGTTGCCCAGGCTGGAGTACAGTGGCAAGATCTCGACTCACCACAACCTCTGCCTCCCGGGTTCAAGCGATTTTCCTGCCTCTGGCTCCTAAGCAACTGGGATTACAAGCATGAGCCACCATGCCAGGCTAATTTTTGTAGTTTTAGTAGAGACAGGGTTTCACCAAATTGTCCGGGCTGGTCTCGAACTCCTGACCTCAGGTGATCCCCCCGCCTCAGCCTTCCAAAGTGCTGGGATTACAAGCGTGAGCCACCGCGCCCCGCCCTATTGATGTTTTTTGATGAAATACCCAAACTTGCACCTCTCCCAGAATGTGAAGACCAAGGCTGGGAACAGGCCTGTCAAATGTTCCGGGTGGTTTGATGCAGCCTCTGTGACCGTCAAGGCCTCTTACCCACTACCAAGGTACAGAATCCACTAGATAAAACAAGACAAGAATCCAACCTAAGCGTGCATGCTTTGGCAGAAATTTTTAAGATGGTGTGGGGAGTACAGGAAGGACTTCCTTCGCATGGACTGAAAAGCCCTTTTTGTTCTAAAGGAGTAATGACTTTGAAGAGGCCTAATTTTTTGGTTCGGCTTCCAGACTAAATATTTGTTTCTTGAGCAGCAGCGGGTCCTCTGAGGTGAAGTGGTAAACACTTTTGGCCTATGACTGCGGGTAATAAAAATCCATCCAGGCCGCCCGAGGGGAGGGGCGCCGGTAAAGCCGGAGCTGCAGCGAAGCCCGGGGTCTGCCGCTGCCGAAGCCTGGCTCGCCTCTTACGCTGGGGGCTACGGGCAGTTGGGGCCGACAACCTGCGAGCCCGCCTTGGGACGCATGCTCGCTCGACAGCTGGGGCTGCAGGGTGCGATGGGACAGTAGGACCGCGAAAGCCTGGGCTTCGAGCCTCGGGCTCCCTGTCTTTAGGCAAAGTGCGGTTTCCACGGCTGCAGGTTTCGCTGCATAAGGGAAGACTTGGATTTGGCGACTCCAGTCCTCACTTCGCGGTGGCAACTTTATGCTCCCATCCCTCGGTAGGCCAGCTTCTAGCTCTCTGTCCCTTCCGGGTCTCTCCGGTTGCTTCTGTCTTTTCTCCTCCCTCTTCCGTCGCAATCCCGCGCCCCACGGAGGACGGTCGTGATGTGGGAGTTGGGGGATACCTTCTTCCTGGGCTCTGGGGCTACGCAGACCCGTCGCCTGCCTGGAGCTCCTGTGCCCTCAGACGCCACGGGAAAACTTGCAGGGACATCTAGCGCCAGGCGTGGGGAACTGCGCGCCGCCGGGCTGGGAAGTGGAGCCGAACGCTGCCCCTCCGCCTCCCTCTCGGCTCCCCCTTCATACTTGGGCACTTTCCTCACCTTCAAGCTTTTGCCCTGCCGGTAAGGACAATGTGGATTCCCCATAGAGACAACGGACTCTGCGGAATGGAGATAGGTAGGTAGACAGACATTTTCTTTTATCTCCAGCGACGGACAGAGTGAGAATTTACTGGACTTAACAATGGTTTTGCTAGGGAAGTGTATTCCAGGGACAACCCCTCACCTTGAGACGTCGGATAAAACTAAAGCAAATTAGGGTCCTAGCTTTTATTTTCCAAAAAAAGGCAACAAGTTACTCTGGGCCTCCAGCTTCTGCCCCACCCTCCTGCGTCCCTTTCACAGTGAGATTAGTGCTTCTCTTCAAAGGAAAAAATCCTCACTGTGTTT